TGAACAAGGCTGAGGACCATGGCACCCAAAAGCGATGTGAGTTAGAAGTCCCCTGGAGAGACTGTCATTCCTTTTAGCAGTGAAAGCTCTCATTTGGGGTCTTGTGACCCCTGGCTGTGTACAGGTCAGGACATTTCAGCCTCTGCCAAGCTTAACTGGCCACTGGGAGAACATGGCGGCTTACATTTCAGCAGTGAATGTATTTAGCAACTTTAAATGTAGCAGCAGATGGGGGCAGGGTGGGGATGGGGAAAGCATGGACCACATTTTCTGCTGAAAATCCACTTGGGAATTTGTGCTGTGACCTACATTACTCCGTCTTCCACCCCCAACTTTCTCCCTTCAAGGAATGTGATGATTTCCCAAGAATGGAATATTCTGCAGAAAACCATTTTAATAATGTGCTAAATGACAGCACAGTAAAGCATGGAAGCCTTCACTGATTTGCAGTCCAGCTCCCAGGACCTGAATTCTTGGAGTCCAGCCTCCCCTTATTAATGTCATCCGACTCTTCCCTTGGGCTCTGCTCACATCTGCAGTGTAGTGTTCCCCAGGGTCCACCCTTTCCCCCGGTGCATGAGAATGCAAACAGCAGGGGGCTCCCTCAAAAAGGATTTTGAGGGCTTGCCATTCATTTTCCTGTTTGGGAGACTGTTATGACTTGTGTCTAGATGTCCTCACAGAGCCTCATGAGGTCACAGGTGGGGCTCTTCGGAGGTGGCTGGACCTAGGTGTGTGATGCTGGGATTAAGGGTGCCCCACCTCGGGTATGGGTGGCACCAATCAAAAGGCACATAGCCTGAATGGGATAAAAGGGAGAGGCAGGCTTGCTGCTGTTGCTTCTACAGCTGCCTTCAGCTTGCCATAAACTTGCCCTTCTGTGATGACCCTCTGCCTTGAAGCCAGCTAACTGTGGACTGAAACCTCTACAAACTGTGAGATACAATAAACCTTTCCTCCTTTAACTTTGGGTGTCAGGTATTCTGTCTCAGAAACAAGAAAAGTAACTAAGACAGGAGCACATTCTGGTACACTATGGGCCACACTGATACAGGGTCCAAAGAGGAAAGGAAATGCCCCACTCCCCACTATCCTTCTAACTCAGAGCTGCTGCTTGAATTAGAAAGAAAGGCAACAGGAGGGTAAGCGATTGGGAGAGAAAAATTCAACATGCTGATTCCTCAAGGCTCAGATTTGTGCAGATGGCAGACTGATTAGAAGTCACGATGCCCCTTGCAGAACACAGTGAAATACTGACACGGCATAAAATGCCACAGTATGTGCAAAAGCAGGTCCTGTCTAATATTGGACTCCAGGCTGCACAAGACTGCAAGTCTTAAGGCATATTTATGAGGAGAAACACAAGCAAATTCTAGCTGCCAGCTCTGATCTCCCACTAGGGTCCCACAATGGGAACAGGACCACCAGCATTAGAGGTTAATAGTGGACTTACTGACAGGGCAGACAGACAGGAGCACACATGGAAAGCTAATGCCACGTGGGAATGTTCTCGAATCCAGAACCTAGATAGGAGGCCCGACAAGCAGTGGCTATGAGCCAGGACTGACAGGCAAGTGTCCAAGGGCCAGGCAGGTACCTAAAGTGACTGATACCACTTACATATTAGAAAACCAGCCAAAGAGGCTCTGCACATGTCTGAGTTTGGGTGAGGGTCACCACTGACTGTATCTCAGTGTAGCAGAGAGGGCCGATGGGAGTCATCAAGTTTTCTGATTGTTCAAGAGAAGTTTGGCATCTGGACGTTTTTATATAATGCTTTCTAATTTTTTTGATGTTGGCAATTACTTCAATTAAGAAATACAAATGAGTAAGAAAACCTCAGTGTCCTGGCCACATAAAACAAATGGGAGGATTAGGCCTAATCCACAGACTGAGGGTTTCCCAACTATGCCCCCAAATCTGGGCCCAGGTCCCACACAGCCAGGCTTGCTGTGTGCTGGGTAGATACCCTGGGATTGGGCAAGTGACTTCTGCATTTCATTTTTCTCATAAAATATTACATGATTTTGAAGTATTATGAAACCTCATGAAATTACCATTTTAATGACAACTTTATACAATTGTAGTTAATAGAATGGAGACACAGCGCGCACCTCAAAGGCTCTCAGGAAGATGAGCTGAGACAAAGCAGATGAAACATTAGGGTTGGAGCCCTCAGAAACCGCTCCACAAATGGCAGTACTGCCTTCGGAAAAAGCCTACTGAGCTTCAGTGACCAGTGCACAGGTCCTTTAGGATCTTAAAGCAGTATTTGAATGGACCAAGGAAAATTTGTCAATATTTAGAAGAATAACTATGCTTTGCCGGACTTACTTCCTTAGCCAAGAAGTTTTTTTTTTTTTTTTTTGGTACTGGGGATTGAACTCGGGTCCTTGTGCTTGCACAGCAGGCAGTGAAACCACTGAGCTAAATCCCCGGCCCAAGAGGTTTTTAAAAATAGAGATCTCTGCAGCTAGGCTCGGTAGTGGAGAAGCCAGTCCGGCTCTGTCCCGCAGGCACACAGACAGGAAACCGTTACATGGAGAGTCACAACATGGTGAGGCCTGGCTACAGCCCCTCTCTCCCTACCCCAAAACGAGACAACCTCCAAATTTCAACCTGTAAGCCCATCCTGTTCAAAAGAGAAAAGGAGGAGGGGTAGCTTACTTTGTGATTGTGAGGAAGGCCAAGGGAATAAAGCTGTTTCATTTCAACTGCGTCTAGAACAATGTTTAGTGGAAATTCTGCTCATATTTGTCATTTGCCACAATCTCCCACAGAAAGTCCTTTTAAGTCCATGAAATTGAACTTTATGTTCCTCGTGTTATTAGCACAAAAGGTCTCTCCTCTCCTACCCAGCACTGATGAGTGGCAACCAGCGCAGCTGAGAACGTGTGTCACACCAGATGACACACATGTAGCTGGGACAGTCGGGCAGGCTGGTGCTTGGCCAACACTGAACTGGAACTGCTGGACTCCCCACGCCAGGCAGCGGGGGTGGGGGGGGGACGCCGATTCCCAGATGGGTAGTGCCCCATCAGACTCATTCTGAGGACCAGCCGTCGGAGGGACAACTCACTATGTAGTTTCATCAGAGAACCGAGCAAAATGCCTGTGTCTCAGAGGTTAATTCACTGAACACATCCTGGGGTGTCTACCCGTGAGAAGGGAGTGACAGCTCCTCACATGTACCAGGGTGACTGCTCTGAAACACTGAGACAAGAGTCCTTACATCCCAAATACCCGGATAAAAGTTCCACATGGTCTTTCTACACAGGAACCAGACGGGTCTCTCATCTCTGCAGCACAATACGATTATGTCTTCTCACAAAATCCTGAAACAATGAGGAAACAAGGATTTTGGCTGCAATAAGAGGACCTAAGCTGATGAGAGGCCTCCACCAATGTCTAATTGCAAGTTCAACTGGGAAATGCTGGGCGCATCTCACAGAAAGAAGGTGATCTTTAGGCTACAACGGCATCTGTGGAGCAATACAGAGTACCACTCCTCTGTGTCATTTAAAGAACCAGTGAAAGGAGATTTCTGTTATTCCAGTAAACCACAGACCCAGAGCAGCGCTTCTCAGTGATGAGTCCAGCTATGGTTTAGGTCTAAAATCTCCCCCAGACGGTTCATGTTTTCAGGGGTCGGACTTTGGGAAGGTGACTGGGTCATGGAGGTACTGTATCCATCAATGGATTAATCTGCTGATGAGCTCATGACAATGTGCAGCTAGGAGACAGAGTCCAGGTGGAGGAGGGTCTCTCTGTCTCTGTCCCTGTCTGTCTGTGTGTCTATCTGCCCCTCCCTTTCTCTTCTCGCTCTCCCTCTGCTTCCCTTTCCCTCCCGCTCCTCCACACCAGGCCAAGGCCAAGCAGAGGTTTGTTATTGTGGTTCTCCTAATTCCAGGGATGTTAATGTCTCAGGCTAGGTACAGGGCAGACTGATTGGTGATAAGGTGGTAACATCAAAGTGACCACTACCTGTCCCAAGGGACTGCCCAAACAGATGTCTCTCAGTGACAGGACCAAAGAACGTGGGTGGATGAAGTTAGCACAGGATGGCCCAACATGGTACAGGGCAAGGGTGAAGTAATCTGCCATACACCTTCATGAGCAAAGAGCTAGTTTCAGAAAATGATAGCACCTGCCATGTTCATAGACAATCTGGAACTAAAATAATTTTTTAAGGGTATAACATGTAAACTTACTTCATTTTTTTTTTTTTTTTACTTTTATAAGAGATAAAAGGGCAAGGGAAGGGCTGGGGATTTAGCTCAGTGGTTCCACCATCTGCCTTGCAAGCGCAAGGTCCTGAGTTCAAATGCTGATACCAAAAAAAAAAAAAAAAAAACGGCAAGGGAATTTGGACCTCATTTTAAGCATGCTCATATTTAGCACTATTAATATGGAAATGATGTGAATCAACAGCACTGGGAGTCAGAGTTTTTCTTTTTTTTTTTTTTTTGGTACCGGGGATCGAACTTGGGTCCTTGCGCTTGCGCAGCAGGCAGCGAAACCACTGAGCTAAATCCCCAGCAAAACAGCATATGTAGGGTTCGGTACTGTCTTTCTCTTTTTTTTGGTACTGGGGATCAAACTCAGGACCTTGTGCTTGTGAGGCAGGTGGCGGAACCACTGAGCTAAATCCTCGGGCCAGGAGTCAGAGTTTTCCCTTGGGCCCATCATCCAAGCCTGAGGAACACTGATAGACCATTTTCGTTTTGGGATACCTGGGAGCTGAACAGAAAATGATTCTTTAAGATCCATAAAAATATGTGAAACCATGGAGCCCTGAACTAACCCTCAAACCTCACTTGCGGACTTTAGGGATCGCCAGGCACTGAGGCTGAGCTTCTATGCCAGCACATCTAACAGCTCAGGGATAGCCGAGTCCACAGTGCCAGGGACACTGCAGAGAGCCACTTCCCCTAAATCCCAGAGACCCAAAAAGCAATGCTTGGAGGTCCCAAGTACCGTGCCCACATGACAGTACTCACACGAAGAAGGGCACCAGCTGCACCAGAGTCTCCTTCTTGGGGCTGGCAGTGAACTCGGGCACCATCTGAATGACTTTGTTCATGACACTGCGCAGGTAACTCTGGAGCTGCTTTCTCCGTTCCTCCACGAACTTGGCATCCTGGGAACACAGAGGGAACGTGCGTTCTCAGTGATTTCCCCACTCGTCTGGGAAGGAACCCACAGGATGTGCAGTAACCACTCGGCTCCATCCAGACAGCATCACCACACCGACCAGTCTCCACAGCTTCACACACACTACTGACTCAACAAAAGGAAAGATGCTCGTGAGGCTACTATTATCAGTAAGTGGGGGAAAAGACGGTCTAAAACCCATGTGCAGCAAACTCCCATGAATGGATGAATGAATGAGCAGGCGAGGCTGTTAATTCTCAGTACCAGCATGGTGTTGAGGACCAAGGACAGAAGAATGAACATAAAGGGTCACTGTTGTGTTTCTCTCAGGCCAGTGAGGAAGAAAGAAATAAATCCAGTGGCCACACAGGTAAACATATAATTATTAATCATACTGTCACCTCCAGAGCATGTGCTTAATTTTGTCTTCATAGTTTTTTAAATTATAAGTCAGTAATCACTGATTAAGAAAGATTTTATTAACAAGCAGACAACTGCCACCCTATCTTGAGAAACCGGGGCATGTGATGGTCGCATGGTCCCCTGCAGGGCTGACCCTGGCTGGGGCTGAGGGGGCAGTGCGCAGGCTCCACCACTCAGCACGAAGAGCTCAGTACTGCAGACCCCTCCCTCACTCCCAGGTCCCCTCCCGCCATGTGGGCCTGGCCTTTGTAGGCATGGCTGGCTGCAGGGGCCTGTGCCCTGTGCTGTCACAGTGTGCTTACACCTGTATGATAATCTGTTCCCGCCTTGCAAACCTCACCCAGCAATTCGAGTGAGTCCAGCTTGCACGCCTCTGCTCTGGGTCCAGCTCATGACAGAATCCTGGACAGCAAAGGCACTGGCAGAGAGTTTCTCTGAGAAGGTGGTGTTCCTTCTGGGCTGAAGACCAAGTGGGCAAATCAAGGAAGAGCAGATGCAGGAGCAGGGCTACTACCATCTCTCAAGAAGACGAGGAGAGGCACTGTGAATAGGAGCCCCTATGAATGGCCAGAGCTCCTCTCTGCTTCCCTGTGCTGGCAAAGAGCTGGTCCCAGGCAGGGGCTCCGTGATGAATTTTCTAGTGCTTGGACAGTGCTCGCTTAGTGCCCTGGCCTCTGATGGAGTGACTCCAGAAAGCCCAGCCAAGACCTCAGCATGGCAGGACGTTCTTTCTGAAGTGGCACCTCCGGCTGGTAAGGAGCCCCCGGGCATGCCCACCAGCCGCCCCCGGAGCTGCTTGGGCAGAGGCGCACAGGCAGAGCGCCCAGGACTGAGCCCAGCTCTGTCCGGCAGGCCATGCCCACTTGCGACCAGGAGCCAGTGAGGACCCCCTGGGAACGCCCACCAGCCGCCCTCAGAGCCGCGTGGGCACCTGCAACAACAGAGGGCCCCCCCCCCCACCTCTGGCCTCTTGGCTGTGCAGCTACCTGGTTCCACACTACAGAGGCACAGGGGGACATAAAGGCCATTGTCCCGAGCTGCAGAAGTGAACAACAGAGAAAGGGCCTCTCTCAGGCTTCTTGATGAAAACTGAAGCCCACTGGAAAAATGAAGAGAATCTCTGCAGTAAAGGCATGCCAGACCACTGTGATTGGTAAGTTGGAGGGATCACCACCTCCCACCGGAACCTGGACTATCTTCAGGGGAAAGGCAGCTGGAACTTGCAATAGAACCTTGCACAGTTCAACCCTGCAGGAGGACAGGGAGTTCAACTTAGGACTTGGAGCGAGAAATCTGCCTGAATCTCACGGCTCTGTGACTGGCTTAATGAGACTCACTGACTTATAACTGCACACTGCTGCCTACATTGTCTATTGTAACAGAAGAGACATACCCTGAAGGAGTCTTCACTTTTCTCTTTTATTTGTTATTTTCAAAATTGACACTATTATTTTGCTCTTATTTTTAATTTTTTTCTTTTTCTACTCTTTTAAAATTTTTATTTTTTTCTTTTCTCCACCCCCCCCGCTGTTCCACATTGTTCTTCATCTCCCTTTGTGTTCCTGTTCTGGCACTAATTCATATTTCTTCTTTATTCTTCTTTTCTTCTCTTTCCTTCTCTCACCTGTGTCCTCTGGCCTCACTGCTAACCTTCCTCTATCCTTCTACCTACCTATCCCTCCCCTCCCCAACTCCTTCTAACTCCCCATTCCGAAGGGTAAAATTGCTATACTGACAAGTTTATTCACGAGTTTGTCAATTATTTATTGATTTTAATTTAATTCACACAGTTAAAGGTGATAGATTAATAACTACCACAAATTGTCATTTTCTAAGAGGTACTTGATGCTATTGTGTTGCTGACTGTATCACTTGGGCTAAGGTGCTGTGATTGATCTAATCAGTGGTCCTTCCTGGTATAATGAAAATGAGACAGCCTCAGAGCCATTAGAGACTCAAAACCTAAAGACCAGCTGTATCTGGAAGACGCCTCTGAGAAGCACTCATTCCATAAGGGTTCTAAATATATCAACAAAGGTACTTACAATAAACAACTTCAAAGTATCAACCCGGGAACTAAACCAAGGACAGTACCAAAAACAAAAAGGAGAAGACAAAATTTAAGTAAGGCACAAATTCAGACTTCCACTCCACGAAAGGCAAATTCTGGGGCAACAGGGTGGAAGAGTCCGATAACCAACCACCTGGATACCCTGAACTGATAGCACAGGAAGTAACAAAACAGATGAATGAGGCTCTAGAAAAATTCAAAACAGAAATAATCTCCCAGATAACTAACAGAAATTGTTGGGCAGAGTGAAAGATATGATTAAAGGCTCTAGAACAGAAACAGATAAAAAAAACAGATGAGCTCAGAAATATGCTGGAAGCCAGGAATGCCCAGCATAAGAAAAAAATGAAAACTATGATCGCCCAACATAAGAAAGAAATGGAATCCACGAAACAGATTCAAAGAGATATTCAGGAGATTAAAAACTCCATTGAAAGCATGCAGAGCAGATTAAGGGAATCTGAAGATAGAATATCAGATACAGAAGACAGGATCATGGTTAAGGACCATGAAAACAGAGATTTCTAAAAAATAGTAAGGGACCACAAGAAATCAGTCCAGCAGCTTCTAGAT